CACCATTACTTGCTACAATATGTCCCAAGTACTTCACTTCTTGTCGAAACAAGTGACATTTCTTCGGACTCAACTTCAAATTTGCTACCCGCAATCGTTGAAAGACTTCTGTCAAATTATTGGCATGTTCATCAAAGGATCTGCCTACTACAATTACATCATCCAAATAAACCAGGCATGTTTTCCATGTTAGACCTCTTAAAACTGCCTCCATTAATCTTTCAAATGTGGCGGGGGCATTACATAAACCAAAGGGCATAACTGTGAACTGCCAAAGCCCTGATCCCATCGAGAATGCGGTTTTTCTCACGATCAGCTGACTCCATGTCTACTTGCCAATATCCACTTTTCAGATCGAGTGTGGAGAACCAACGAGAACCAGAAATGTGTATCAAAAGTATCGTCTATTCTGGGCAAATGGATAACTATCTTTTTTAGTCACCGCATTGAGCTGTCGGTAGTCAATAAAAAACGTGTTGAACCATCTTTCTTCTTTACTAGTACTACTGGTGATGTCCATGGACTGTTTAATGGTTTAATTACCCCTTGTTTGCTCATATCTTTGATGATGTCTTCGGCTTCATCTCTTTTCGCAAATGGAAGTCGTCTAGGTTGTTGTCTGATTGGCTGAGCGTCTCCGGTATTAATTTTGTGCTTTACTATGCTTGTTTTACCATTATCCTTCTTATCAATGGCAAAAGCATCTTGAAATTCTATTTAGCATAGACTTCACTTTTTTAGTTCGTTCATCATCAAGATCTTGGCACGTTTTAATCATCGTCTCAACAAGCTCCTTTGGATACTTAGATTTCGACGGTTTCTCATTAGTACTCATGGAACAAATCGAAGCCACGGGAACACACTGTCCGATCAAAGTTCTTTTACTTAACTTAATAGCAGTTCCCTTTAAATTCATAACTCTTACAGGAACGACATCTCGAATTCTCACCAAAGCTTTTGCCGTTAGGAACTCGGCATTGTTCACATCTTCGACCATCCTTAAACTTCCCTCTCGGCTGTAACCATCAGGTTTGGTCATCAAAATTTTCTCACTATTACCGGGTATTGTTACGTCGCAAGTAGCTTTTAATCCGATAACATCTTCTTTGTCTTCGTGAAACGGCAACTCTTCACCACTGATCTCGAGAACTCCATCTATGACATTCAATACAGCCCCAACTTTCCTTAGTAAATCCATCCCCAATATGATCTCGTCGGAGATATCTGCAATTAATACTCTATGTTTTACTGTGGTCTGGCCAATGGATACTGACATATTAGCCTCACCATATGTATTAATTATCTCACAGTTGCTGTTCTAAGCTTTATTATTGCAGGCGATAATTTAAGATGGTCTCGTACTACTTCTGGCCGTGCAATAGTTCTTGTTGCACCTGTATCTACCAAAAACGATCTACATTTATTATTAATACGACCCTCGATGTACAGCTATGAATTCCACCGGAGGACGTAATGTTCACAGTTACTATGGGGGCTGTGTTTCTCGAGGTCGGCAGTTGCCCCTTGGTGTCGACCCGTTCTAGTTTTCCGACTGTTGTATTATTTTCTTGCAATTACGACGAATGTGACCTACGTCACCACAATTCTAACATCTGGGCTCACGTTTCTTCGGCATCGTGTTACGAACTACTTTTCGTACCATTTCTTCCAGACGTTCATCGTTTGGTTCGTCGCTCTTCTTCAATGGTTCTAACTCGATGGCTCCGTGAAGTTTGACTAGCTGTTTTATGTTCTAAGCAATAGCGAGCGCTTCATCTAGAACTTTCGATCTTGCTAGTCGTAAAGCTTTCTGCAATTCACTTTCTTTTAACCCATTGACGAAGGTATCTACAGCGATTTCTTCCAAAATGTTGTCTGGTACCTCAGGATAAGCCAACGCACTATACGAGCAACATCTGCTTCAAGCTCTTGCAAATTTCACTTGCTCGTTGAACTCTACTTCTTAGTTTGCGCCTTGTAGACTTGTTGTAGGTGAGCATCTCCGTAACGTTTGTCTAGTCGAGTAAACAAGGTCTGGTAACATTTTTCTTGACCCTTAGGAATGGATCTTAGGATATCTGCAGCATCACCTCGTAAAGCAGCAGTCAAGGAAACAGCCTTTTCTTGTTCTGTCCAATGATTGGCTGTCGCATAGCTTCAAATTGTCTAAGGTATATGGACCAAGAGGACTTTCCATCAAATGGTGGCAATTTGAATCTCATATGATGTGTCATATCGTCTCTAGGTGATTCTTCTTTTACAACCGAATCTAAAGCTACCGTATTAATTAGTGGTAGCACTTCGTGTTAGTTATCATGGTCTCTAATTGTTTGATTTTCTCTTCTACGTTGTTTACATTTTTCTGCATCTGATCGAATGTTCTTGAGACTTCTTCAAATTTCTCATTATTCTGTTTAGAAGTTTCTTCCATCATTTGAGAAACATTTTCAAATTTCTCGTCGAATCTTCTAGACAAATTTTCAAGTTTCTCGTCATTTTGTCTAGCTACTTCTTTAATAATTTGGAGACGTTTCATTGAATCTTTCGTCATTTTTTTTTTGAAGATTCTTCAATCATTTGAGACGTTTCATCGAATCTTTTGGAAACAGTCTCGAATTTTCCATCAATTATTTTAGTTAAAACGGCTTCTTCTGCTGACTGGAACTGGAAAGTCTCTGGGTCGTCTCCATTCTTGTTGAGAACAGTCTTCAGTCGTTCTTGGAGTATCTTTTTGGACCCGCTGCAGTCTTCATCGCGTTCTTCTAGTTGCTCACGCAACTGTTTCACTGAAAGTTCTACTAGCAGCATCTTTGGTCAGGTACACACGTACTTTTTGAAATGTTCTTTCGTACAACGATCACTACCGAACAACGCGGATGTTCCCGACGAACACTACTTTTCAAAAGTTCAAAAAGTGTTGTCTTTTTCAAAGTCACAGCTGAATTTGTTTTTTAATAATTCAATTATTGTCATCACACTGTGACACCAATTGTACCGTGATTAAATAAAACGAGCGGTTCGAATTTATATAAATATATTTATTTATAACTTTACAGTTCGGTATTCTCTTCAACTAAACTTATTCCTAAGATCGTTACATATATATACCAAAGTTACTATTTTCTAGAAAGTTCCCACCTCTAGGCGTACGCGACTGATCTTTCTCGAAATATCGAGATATCGAAATATCGCTTTCGAGATGCCGCCGCATGGAAGCATGAGGTGCTGTTTCGAGATGCAAACCGTTATACGTGCCTCGTTGAATGCACGTTCGTAACAATATTGTACTTTAACTATACAACCTTATACTATTGACTAAGTATATCTCTATTCACCATTCTAATTCAATTTTTGCCACTATTACATTAATTCATGTAGCCCCTTTTAAAGTTTCTTAAAAAAACTCCTTTTTTTTAAAAATAGATTTTCAGTCAATGCAGACAGAGAGTTATTGAAGAGGTGATTTATGCTGTTCTATAATAAAAGCACCTTTATTTTGACATATACTTATGAGCAATCTTGCGTCCTTTATTTGTGTCCATTAATAAAATACAAGCCGCCTGTATTTAAGTTAACTGCAGGACAGAGAACTTTTATTTAAAGGTCCTTTATTTTTATCTGTTAAATTACGTGCAGAAGGAAGAAAGGCATCTAACTTCACTTCACTGCTTTCAATGATCTTATTGTAATTTTTAATCTAAGATTAGCTATATAAGTAACAAATAGGAGCTTAGGCATTTATAGGTAATTTATATTAGGTATACAAAACTATTTAATGTCATTTGTCAAAATAAAAGATTTCTTCAATATTTTAGCAATAACTCTCTTTCAGACATGAAGTATTTTGTACTTAAGATCCCGTAATAAAGGCGGCTGTAATCTTGCGGTGGATATGATCCAGGGTATGAATTTAATTCTCAAGCTAGCTTGCTCTCTTGGCTGTGCAGCATTTGCTAATCTGTTGTTGACTATCTTTGTGAATATTTTGTATATGATTGATAGAAAATTGGTCTGTAGTTGTTGATATCCCCTTTGCTACCTTTTTATGTTTCCGTATTCCAGTGGTCTGGTACGCATCTTTTCCAGGTATTTTTGCCAGCGTATTTAAGCACTTCTACTGTTATGCCATCTATTACAGCTGCCTTGCCGCTTTTCATTTTTCTAATAAGTCGATTCTACTTTGCAGGAGCTTTGTCTAGTTCCTTGTATAATTTAATCACAAGTTGTATTATTTAGTTTCCATCTATAATTCCAGTGTTTTGATTTGTTACGGTGTTCTGACCCATTGATAATAGTGGGGAAGCAGTATATTATTTGAAACCAAAAGTTTTGCGTTAATCGACCATTCTGTTCAAGTGCAGGAATAATTTGGTAATGTAGTAAACCTAAATACTTGGCAAAATAGAAATTCACTAGTATAAAAGTTCTATTTCGTTTCCTATAGTATTCTCTAGAATTCACCACCCTCTATAAAATGATTATATACAAATTATGGTAAATAACGTCTTAATGGTAAGTAACGTGGTTGTTAAATTAAATGACCGTTTATTTGGAACACAACAATACACTTTTACATAACATTACTTATTCTAATCGTAGTTCGTACTTATGTGAAGTTGATATGAGATTCCCTCATAATTATCAATACGTGATACATCAACTTGCCATCTTGACGTTAAATTAGTTCTGATCTCCCAAATAATAATTGTTGTCCCTTTTATAATAGACCTTGCATATATCAGCAGTTTATTTCTTAGTGTGTCAAGTTTGTTTAACGACCTACGTAACCGTATGTCTTGATTTGCAATAGTGCTGACTTACAAATTCTAATTCGAGGCTATTTTATGAATGTCCTCGATTCAAATTATTAAACATATTTTATATAAACAAAATGCGAAACTATGTTACACGTTTACTTTTCAACTTATTCTTTATATGAATTATAATATTTTACGGATAATACCACAAAATGAAGCATTTCTAATTATTTTATTTTTTAGTATCCGAGGGAATTAACGGAAAATGTGAAGACAGCGTTCAATGCTACACAAAGACACCGAATACCGTGTGTACAGACAATAAATGTGTTTGCGAGGGTATGCATGAATATGAAGGAAAGTGTTACAAAAGTGTTGGTAAGTTTTACTATTCCTTAGATAATAATTTTCTACTCTTAATAATCTTAATACATAATAAAAAAAGGATGGGGTAGAAGGCGTGCTTTTTACCTTTACCTGGAATGAAAAATAAAAAAAATTGGCCAAACCTATAAATTTCATTTAAAATTTTATTTATATTACTAGAATGTGGCCCAATTCTAACGCATCGGGATTCTAGAACGGATGATATTCTACTAAAATGCATTTTGTCACACCAAAAATATTGTATAAAAACTTATTTTGATATTATGAATAAATATTCGAAATGGAAAATAAACAGTTTAAAGATACATAAAATGGTACACTACAAATAAGCTATAGTATCGTGTTTACTACTTCGTAACACACAGACTTCGGTCTAATATATAGTAGTCATCGTTTCTCCAAGGGTGGTAAAAACTAAAAACTGATTAACTTTTCTATCTTAAAATGTTCGTTATTTTCTTGCCTTTCATTTGCTATGTCGCATGTTAGAATTCGATCATGTCTCCTCTTGACGATCATATTTCTTCGTTGAAAAACGTGTCGTTTTTGATGAAAATGTAAAAGAGGTTGAAAATATTTCCTCTTTTGAACAGAAACTAAATGACATTTAAAGACATCAGATAAATCCGATCAGCTACAGTAAACGCAAAACGGCGAGACAAAATGTAAGTAGGAGCCCTGGTCAACATTTGAAGTAAGTGGAGGTTCTGTTTGTGCTAAAGCCCAAAAAATGTAAAAATGCGCCATCTCCTGAAAACTTTTTTAACAATTATACATAAAAGAATATATATATATATATATATATATATATATATTTATATATATATTATATATATATATATATATATATATATATATATATATGTATATATGTAATAACACATGACAAACACACAATTCGGCTTCAGGGATGCATTGGGTACTCAAGAGGCACTTTTTGCAATACAAGTTCTCTTTCAAAGGTGTAGAGACGTGAATTGTGATATATATGTGTATTTTGTTGATTACCAGAAAGCGCTCGATAGAATAAAACATGACGAACTGATGAAAATATTAAATTCAATTGGTCTAGACAGCAGAGATCGCCGTATAATAAACAATATCTATTACGAACAGACTGCAGCTGTTAGAGTTGGGGATCAGTTAACAGACGATATAAAGATAAAAAGAGGTGTACGACAGGGATGTATATTGTCCCCATTATTGTTCAATACATATTCAGAGCACATTATGAACCTAGCGCTAACGGACATAGACGAGGGAATACTTATAAACGGAGAACGATTGAACAACATAAGATACGCTGATGATACTGTCATTTTTGCAGACAGTCTTGAAGGTCTACAAGCACTTGTCTCCAGGGTGGCAGAAGTAAGTAGCAGGTTTGGGCTTGATTTTAACATCAAAAAAACCAAATACATGGTTATAAACAAAAATAGGATACCACCTGGTCAATTACTAGTTAACCAACAACCTATAACACAATTTACCAGCTTTTGTTATATGGGTGCAAACTTAAATGAACAGTGGGACCAATCTACGGAAATTAAGATCGAGAAGGCAAGATCAGCTTTCGTCAAATTGAAAAAAATCTTTAACAGCCACGACATAAAATTGGAAACAAAGTAAAATTGAGTTCTTTTACTAAAATGCTACGTATTTTCCGTTCTTTTATATGGCGTGGAGTCATGGTCCTTAACTGAAGCATCACTGAAGAGACTCGAAGCATTTGAGATGGTGCTATAGACGCATGTTGAGGATTTCCTGGATAGACAGAATTACCAACGAAGAAGTACTACATAGAATGGGTAAAGAGTGCGAACTAGTCGTAACCATAAAACGTCGCAAACTAGAATACCTGGTCCATATAATGCGCAATGAACAACGATATGACCTACTTCGGATTATACTTCAAGGTAAAATGTATGGGAAAAGAGGTCCAGGACAGAGAAGAATATCCTGGCTGCATAACCTGCGAAAATGGTTTAACTTAACCACTACCGGACTTTTCAGGGTAGCAGTCAACAAAGTCAGAATGGCCATGTTAGTGTCCAACATCCGTAACAGATAGGCACCATAAGAAGAAGATGCAGGCCTCTGGGGGGTACCACAAAGTTGGGACTGTAAAAGAAGCATTGAAGATGAAGACAAATTTAACCAGCATGATAATCAGATAAAAGATATTGCATAGAAGAAAACAAATACCGTAAGGTGCTGGAATTATGGTGAAATAGACACGTACGAAGTTCATGTGCGCAGCCTTGGTACAACATAAATAATATCGACATAACTCTAAAGCCATGTTATTCAGATCGATTTTTTTTTGTGTATGGACCATATTTTGGAGGAAATTTCAAATCAAAATCTTTCAGCATATGCACAAAACTTATACACCTCTTCCTTAGTTTGTCGATAGTACCTCCTTTTATTTTTAACTTCGTTTTTATCATGTAATATGGCCTTTCAGAACGTTTGTTACGATCATAGCTACCTTAATTTTATTGACTGCCGCGTATCAATAGCTTCTTCTTCTTCTTCTTCTACTTCTTCTACTTTTTGTAGATCTTTCGATCTGTTTAATTCTGAAGCTGCCTCTGGTTAATTTCTTGGGAGGTAGATTGCCAACTATCCCTCCATCTTTTAGGTGGTCTTCCGAGGGGTCTTGAACCGGGCGGATTGTTTTCTAGGGCAATTTTTGGGAGTCTATTCTCATCCATTCGTCTTACATGGTTGTACCACATCCTCTTGCGCTGCCTTCCCCATCTTACAATATCTTGAATTTTGCACTGCTCTCTAATGTTTGTATTTCTCGCTCTGTCTCTTCTTGTTTTCCCCATTATTGTTCTTAAGGTTTTCATTTCGGCAACCCTTAGCATCTGTTTCGTTTTATTAGTATCTTCGCGCACTTCTATGCCATATGTCATGATCGGTCGTATGCAAGTCTTATAGATTCTAATTTTACTATCTGTGCGCATATACGGATTTGACCAGACTATCTCCCGCAGACATCCTGACAGTGCAGATGCTTTGTTGATCTGACTCCTCAGGTCCTTTACTGGGTCGTGGGTGCTTGATATATCTATGCCCAGATATCTGAATTTCATCACCTGTTCTATAGGGTTGTTCTCAACCACTAACTTACATCTGAGCGGATCTTTTGCTATTGTCATACATTTAGTTTTGTTGGTAGGGATGTTCATATTTAGTAGTCGGCTTGTTTGAAAGAACTGAAAGAGCTGCCTTTGGAGATTATCTTCTGATTCGGCAATAATTGCTGCATCGTCTGCGTAACACACCATACCAATTCTTTTGTTGCCCATTCTATATCCGAGATTAAGAGATGTTACTTTGTTGATAATTTTGCCCATGAGAAGATTAAACAAGAAGGGTGTCTGTCACAACTGTCGCCTTGTCTAATTCCTCCCGGTGTTGAAATATTTTCAGTGAATTCGTCTCCTGCTCTAACTTTGGTTACGTTGTTGTTATTTAGTTTATGGAGTATCTTTGTTATACTGGTCGGTGTTTCATTTTCTATTAATATATTTAGAATGTCTCCCGGGCGAACTCTATCAAATGCCTTCGTCAAATCAATGAAGCAAATATACGCTGGCATGCCGAACTCTATAGCTTTTTCTTTTATTTGTTTTATTATAAATACTGCGTCTGTTATAGACCGCCCTTTTGTAAAACCTTGTTGTTCTTCAGCATTAGTGATTTGCTTTTCCAATTTGTCCTTGAGAATATCAATAGCACGCTTGTATAAATACCATACCAATCTCGCAAGTTCTTTAACCATGAAGTCGTTCTTTAATCATGAAGTCGTTCTTTATCCTGGACTGCGTTAGCCTTCTAGCATGTAATGATAGATCCCAAATATAGATTTCGTAGAAATCTATATTTGGGATCTATCATTACATGTCCGAAGTATTCCAGCTTTCTCTTTTTGATGCTTTTTTATAACCTCATTAGTCTTGCTGATACATTTTAGTATTGTGTTACATATTACCTTGCACATCCTTCGAAAAGTGGAACTGGCCTACTCAATTCTGGATCTAATTTCATCATGACTCTTTGAGTTACAGTATATTTTATATCCAATGTAAAAAAGTTGACTAACTTGCTTAATTTTCGCAAGTTGTTGATGACTTCACCGTTCACAATTATTCCTTCTTGCTTTCCAGAAAGTGCATTTCTAAAAATTCTTTCGGGGTAAATGTTGAAAAGCAGGGATGACAAGAGGCATCCCTACCGTACTCCTCTTTTAATATTAAGAGCTTGTAATTCCAAACCGTCTAGTAAAACTTACGTTGTTCGATTCCAATACAAATTTGCAGATATGCGAACGTCTCTGTCATCCCAGCCAATGTCTCCTAGAAATTCAATAAATATAGAGTGTAACAATAAAACACTGAAAACTTTGTTTTCAAACTTCCACAAAATTTATTTTAACTATTATCACTACAGCAAATTAATTAAGCAAATAGCAGTAAACAACGGATACAACGAAGAAACAATTAATAAAATGTTAAATCAAAAACTACACAAGAAAGCCCTGAAAATAGTATTTCCACCACCAGAGAAAAAACCCAGTACCTTCTGCTCGATTACATATACAGGCAAAATAACAACAAAAATTGCCAAACACATAAAAAAGAAAGGAATAACACCAGCTTTCCGAACAAATAACAACCTAGGTAAATATATTAAAAATAACAAGAGCCAAATAAAAAACACTTAAATAGTGGTGTGTATAAACTTCAATGTGGCGACTGCCCAAAAAATTACATCGGTCAAACTGGTAGAAACTTTGATAAACGAATAGCAGAACATAAAAGGGCTTTCAAGAATAGAAAAACAGATTCGACATACGCACTTCATTTTTTAGATCATAATCATTCTTTTAATGACAAATTTAAAATTCTTCACATTGAAAATAAAGGCCTTAAGCTATCTTTGTTAGAATCTATAGAAATCAACAAATTAAAAAACAG